TTACAGCAGTTACCATAATTACAAGTGGTTATGTCAGCAGTAATTACAGGAAATGCTGATTTCATGATCCTCTGTTACCTGTCATTAGAGAATACACAAATGCTATTGTACAGTATGTTTGTCATAAAATATATCTCAATAGGACATTAACAGATGTCCTCATTATTGTTTTTGGCCAGTGAAAAAACAAAACCCCACAAAGGAACCTTAAGACCAGATTTTAATGAGCAATGAGAAAGCAGCTATAGCAAAAAGAAAGGAAGTTGCACCATTATGGAATTTAATTACTAAGTGGTCCAATGGTCCACATTTCTTATGATGAAGAAATGATTCATTGATGAGAAATGCTACTCATCAATAATTCAGGCTAATGGTCTGTAACAACCAATTCATGTTTATATATGACACAAACATGTCGGTAATTATTCTAGACCGTAGAGTTCTGCAGCAAACCTGAAAACCCCCATAAACCTGATGCCTCTGCTTGTATTTGCAACCAGTTGCTCATTCAGCATCTAAATGATAATAAAGAGAGAGGACTCTTCGTATTTGAAGAACGAATCAATGAGGCATACAAGAGCCGGAAATAATGCTTTATATAGCACACACACACACACACACACACACACACACACACACACACACACACACAAATAGTAAAACAATCAGATCAATGGAGATGTCCTCTGTGCCACATCATTCTCAAAACCTATAAATCCTTTTGAATACTTTACCTTTCACTGAAGAAGTAAGATTGTCCATTATTCAGAATGTCAAACCATTCAGCCAGATTCACTGTCTGGTGAACACAGTACACTCCCTGATATTATGTTTGTGCAGCCAAATCCCCTTTGGCTTGTTGCTTGGCACTTAATATCATAAAACTGCCCAAGAGTAAAGCCAACCAACAGGCCTTTGTTTGTATACGATATACATAGTGGATCTAATTTGCTTTCATTTAGAGAGGAGAAATTGTTTAATAGGTTACAGAGAGTAATCTGAAGAATCTCATTTAATATCCTTTTAATGCACTCGAAGCCATCTTAACTAGAGCTGCAACTAATGACTATTGTCCTCATTGCTTTCTATCAGATTTTTTTGATGGATTGATTATTGTTTAATCTGTCTAAATGCTGGAAAATAGTTTAAAATGACCATCACATCTTCCTAGAGCCCAACTTCGTTAGAATGTCTTGTCTTGTTTGACCAACAGTCTAAAACCCAAAGATATTAAATTTGCAGTGAAAAGCAGCAAATCCTCTCATTAGAGAGGCTGGAACCAGAGAATAATTTTACTTAAATGATGACGAAACGATTATAGAAATAGCAGGCAATTTATTTTTTTTTGTTGATGGACAAATTGTCACAGCACCAGTGTTTACCACGAGCACTACAGGGCATCATCAGCTGTCATAATCATTCTCAAGTTCAGTTAAGGTATCTCTGTGTCCATTAATGATCTCTCATTGAGGATAGAGCCGATGTTTGCTTGTACAGACAATATGTATCTGCTATTATGTAGATAATAAGAATGCTACACTGTTGTAAATGGAACAATACACTCTGTAATGCATGGGCCACTATACTGGATGATCAATAGGGCCTACTGAAGGACTGAACCATGACTAATGTGGTTCATTTGGCTGCTCAAGACCTCTGAATTAGACCACTAACAGACCTGCCCTGTTCCAAAGACAAAGTAAACCTAAAGATTCAAATCATGTCTCAGCCAGATCAGTGTAATCTTCTGGAAGACAATTTTGTTGCCACACTGAAGCCTCAGAAAAAGGAGACGCTTTTGCACGTCTGAGGGTGTGGGTGAGTAAAAGCTTGAGACTGAGGCTCAGATGAAAAATCAAAGATGAGTCTCCACAAGAACCAATAATTAATAGAACAAGTCATCATGCAGAATCACAAACTTGGTCAGCCTCGGCAGGCAGACTGGAACAACTCCAGGGCAGAGGCAGACTGCAGCCACACAAGTTATCTCATCGCCACTGACAACCTGGGTGTGTCTCCACACACAGGAATATTTACCAACTTGGATCATCCCCAGCATCAGACCGGAGGCTGCACACACACTCTCCCTACATGCACACATTCAGGCTCGTTTACCGAGCATTACTCACTTTCAACTGATCCTGTATAAATCCCAATAGCTAGTCCAGGATGTTTCAAACTAATTAATAGCCAGCTAAAACCCTTTACAAGGTGGACATTATTCGAGCCCCTGTAATTTTACAGTTAAACTTAGAGACTGCAGGCTACCATAAACACACTCCAGCCCATTGTGTGAAACCTTACAGGCTCCTAATTTGATTAAAACAATGCCCTCCCCACCCTCACCCTCACAAACTGAACACACACGTTATCTTTTCCCTCCCCATCTTCAGTTTTAGACAGTAAACTCAGGAGAGACGCATTGGCGCCAGACTAGCTAGCTCAACGTCTCTTCCAGCAGATGAACTTGCTGACTGACCGGCAGGTGCAACGGGTTCACTGGACTCACGACCAAAAATGAACTTCTCGAGAGAATTAAACGCGTCTTACCACTTTGCTCCCCCAGAAAGACGAGTTTGAATTTTCTTAAAGGGTTCCCAAAGTCACTGCCCACGGACATTTTGATGTGGTGGAGGAGGAGGAGGGGGAACTCTGGACACCGGAGGACAGGACTTGTGTGTTCCCACTCGAGTTCGGTGTCGGTCGGTGGAGATGCTGGATGGAAAAGGCGGTGATGTTGCTTTCCGTTCAGCTCTCTCTCTCACTCTCTCTCTCTTTCACTCTCTCTCACTCACTGCTACTGCACCGGTCCGTGACGCTTGGGGTGTTTTTTTTTTTTTCCCCTCCCCTCTCACCCAAGGGCTTCTGCGCATGCGCGGCCTCTCCTCGTTCTCCGTTGAGCTGACAGCCGTGATATAAAATGACGTCATGTGAGTCGGAGGAGAGGAGACAGGGAGGAGGCAGAGGCAGACATGTACAATGTGCTGCTGGACTTCATGTGTCTGGAGGGACTCTGGGTTCAACACTGGCTCACATGTGTGTTCCTATCAGACATACAGGGTGGTGTTCACGCTGGTATCTTACACTGTTCCTAAAGGGATGTTCCAGTGAGTTAGCATTGACCTCCCATAAAGTTAGTGAACTCAGTTAGAGACAGATTCTAAAAAGAAAGGTCAAAATTGATGCAGACACATAGGCGGAGATATCTTTTGGGCCTTTAGGTTCCAGTATGGATGCACCTCATTAAGACACTGGTTTCTACAATTCCCATAATGCAACTTGATAAGATCTTTCAATTATTCTCCTTGCCTCTCCATGTACAATATTGCAGAAGTAAAAATATAGGAATAAAATATAATTATAAGACTGTGGTAGATTGGTGAACAGTAGTAATAAAATGAATAAACTGCAAATGTAAACGGTAACATATGGGTAACATTAAGTAAGAGTAGTAAAGGTAAAGTTTACCAGTGTGGTGCAACTGATACTAATGAGCTGAGCTTGAGGGAGCCTGGTGGTGTGGGACTGGATGCTGCGGTACCGTCTGCCAGATGGCTGGGGTGACTGGGGTCTCTGGTGATCCTCCATAGATGGCAGCTTCAACCTGGTGATGTGCTGAGCAACTTTCACCAGCCTCTTTAGAGCCTTTTACAGTTGAGGGCGTTGCAACTGCCGAACCAGATGTTGATGCAGTCAGTCAGCATACTCACAGTTGTGCCCCTGTAGAAGTTTGCAGACCATCCTGGAGAACCTATTTCAAACTCCACGCTCCTGGTTTGTAACACAGGCTTTGATTTATAATTTCCAAACATATCTTCACATGTGAAACATATTAAGCCAATTATATGTCTACATAATATGTTATAATATTTACTATTGCAGTATATGGGCAAGATCCAACATATATTTAATGCTACATAAATGCAGTCCAAATATTTAGTCACTTAAATTCTATATTTATACGAAGGCTGTGAGCATGTGTGTAGTATACAAGTATGTACCTGTTTATTTCATATCTGTACCTGTATACCTGTGTGTATACATAGATTCACTGTATAGTTATTTTGAACGTATTGATGTAATTCCAATGAGCCACTTTGCCATAACAATTCAAGACAATTTAAAGTACATAGCAGACTAACAGATCATGAACAGAACAATACCAGGCACTATATCACTGTGTGTTGTTATGTTGATTGTTTTGTAAAGTGTGAAGTACTCTTTAAGTTAGATTATCCTTCATTGATCCCCATCAGGAAATTCACTCTCTGCATTTGACCCATCCTAAGCACTAGTAGCAGCGGGTAGCAAGTTTGCAGTGTCCAGGGATGAACTCCAGATGTGAGCCAGTGCCTTGGTCAAGGTCACTGACTGGAAAAATTGACCGAATGTTTTGATGGTGGGGGAAAGCAGAGCTTCCGGAGGAAACCCACACAGATACCGGGAGAACATGCAAACTCTGCACAGAAAGGAGTCAAACCCAGGACTTTCTTGCTGTGTGACAACAGTGCTAACCACTGAGCCACTGTGCCGTATAGCGATACCTGTACTGCTGGCTATTTATGTGTATTGTGAAACATGTCTCATCAAGACTGTATTAATATGTATTGTTATATTTTCCATATTGGGGAGAGATACATGACCTATTGGGCCACATGGCAGCTTCTTTTATTTACCTAACCAGTACTCTAATGCTGCATAATGATGATGAAGGAATAATACTCCTTATCCCCAGTTTTTCTGTGTCAGTTAGTTTGCGGCCAATTGATCAAACAAAACCTTATTAAGGAATATGCACCACATGAGCAGAATATAAAGATCTTAAAACTATATTTTGACCCAGGGCCCCCCTAGAAGATATGGCCACAACATTATTGATTTTGTACTTTACTGGTTACTGGTACAATTAATTCAAATACCAAAAAGTAACATGCAGTTAACCTGGGACATTCAGGGTTTCTTTGTTAGCAATTTAAATAAATGACTTCACGCTGACATGATTCATTATATTGTATTTTTATTTATTAGCTAGTAATACTTACAATAAGTATGGAAAAAGTATGCAATCCACTGTAATAACTATCATATAACCACACCAGTAGATAGCATAATATGTGGTTAATTCAATGTATGTACTTGATATCTGAAAAATCATTAGCACTGTAATTAAATCAAGTGTTATAAATGACCATGTATGAAATGAGTACTGCAGTCAATCACAGATGTCTCTGTGTATGAGACAAACACCTATAAAAAAATAAACTTAAATATTAAGCTAATACAGTTAATTAGTTACAGAATATGTTCCCATTGGAAATAGAAACCTGAATAGATTCCTACTATTTAGCAACAAGTTATACACAAAGATATTTATCTGTTGTTGGAACACTCTTCACTCAAGAGAGGTTGTATGAGTGGATCATACTGTCAGAGTAATTCCAAACAGAAGCTTTAAAGCATTAAAAAATATAACTAGTTTTCCCTTTTGGAAAATGTATATCTTAACTCCAGCCAGTGAAGCACCAGGTAGGAAGGTGGGCCCACAGATATTGAGGTCAGTGTAGGCCTGTTCTTGGTTGTGGCTTTCTCCCACTGACACAGCTTTGCTCAGCACACTGTTCTTCAAAAACACCACAGCAACGCTTTCAGAAACAGACAGGTTTGGATAAACACAGACGCTCAGGGTCGGTCACAGTAGTCCTTCAGGCGTCTTCTCCAGACTGTACTCCTGGGTCCGCTGCACCTTCCAGCCCAGCATCATCAGCAGAGCAATGCCCATGACCTTATAACCCACCTGTAAGCCCAAGTACCTGCAGGGGTCACACAAATAAAGATAAGTGATGTGGATGTACTGCATGTGCACATGTGATGATGTGTTCTTAGTGGTACGTTTTCTAACCTGTTCCTCAAGATGTTGTTGTCATAGTAACCACAACTAAACTTCTTTCCGCACACGTGCTTCCACCAGATACATGACGAATCGATGGCCATCCCAAAGAGAGCAGGGGCAGGCAGCCAGGCTGAGAGGAAGACACAAAGACAGTGAGTTCAGGGTAAATGCATTTATAGCCCCATATGGTTGAGGTGGAGCCACTAGAGGGCAATCCAACATTTGCTTAAAATAAATCTATGATGAAATACTCATAGTGCTGACGAATGTAATTCAAAGTTTAGTTTAATTACACTCCCTAATTTTGTTGTAGAACCCAAAAGCAACCCCACTTCCCAGTGAACTAAGAGGAAACAGTATGGAGCCCTTAAGTGTGCAATATTAAATGAAGGAATAAGTATAATAAATTAATTATTGGTTAATATATAAATTAACCAATAATTTAGGAAATAATTAAAGAAATAAGTAAAAAAAAAAGGAATTATTATGAACTGAAAAAAAATTTGCATGTCTGGTTTCATATTTTCCACTGACACTTTTATTTTATTTTATATGTCGCTTTTGTGTCGTATAATGTTTATTACATATAAAATGTATATGAAATAAAAATGAACCCCTAAACCTGTTACTATAAAATAATAAAATAACCATAGTTTTTATAATTACTACACAATTTAATTGTTCATTTATATATTTTAGAAAATGTATTCATGAGATTATTTATTTCATAAAGTCTATTTAATATTGGACACTTTGGGGCTCCATAAACTGTGAACTTTGTTGAGTTTCCAAATAATAACAATGAGCTAGGAGGATATTTTGGCATCCGGGGGCTCTACCAGGCACATTGACAAAAATAAGTGTTTCATTAATACAATAATTAGTCACTTATATTATAGAGTATAGCACTACACACAAAGAGTTTTGGTGTCCTAACTTACCTAATACTCTCATGAGTAAAAACTGAATTCCTATAGCAAACGACTTCTCTTCAGAGGGAACAGATCTGAAAAGAACAGGAATAGAAATTAGGTCAATACCTGCATTTTCTATTGATGTACTGTTTTATTCTTGCATACAATTCTGGACAACAGTGGCAGTTGATTGATACATTTGTTTTGTCATGTATTAAAAAACACACACTTAAATTGTATAAGATCATTTAATAAATCCATTAAGCATCTTTATGAACCCTTGTAAAACTAATTTCTCATCAGATTTCCCAACTTGTACAGTAGTCTATTTGCATTAATTTATTGAACTTTTGTATTTTTGATGGAAGGGCCTGGCAGAGACTGTTAAAAACAAGAGCAGCTCAGCATTTGACTGCAGCTGTTACTGGGAAGCAATTGGCCATAAAAGCCACTTTTAAAGACACGACAGAGGTCCACACTGATTGGGGGAAAGAGAGGTAAAGATGTGTCGGATACAGCAGTTGTGTCAGATTTAAAAAATACATATATAAAAGCTTATATAGGTCAGTGCGATGTCATCAATGCTACAGTATATAACAAATAAATGAGTGAATATGGTGTTATATCCTGCCATCCTTCCTTACCTGAGGACCATCATGTACATGGGGTTGTGAGTGAGGCAGGCGATCAGTGATGCCAGAGAGATGACGAGCATGACAGGGAGAAGTAAATGTGGGCAGCTGTTTGGACAGGGAGCTGGGCGGGCATGACTCTGGCTCCCAGATATACACCTGCAGTTGGTGTATTGCTGTATCCAGAAAGAAAGTAAAGGAAATATTAATGTTGTTATCTGTACTAAGGTATATTACATGTTAAAATTAACCAGCAATGATAACTAGTTTGAAGCAGTAACATAAGACTTGAAAACATCTGAATTAATGAATATATTTTCTACAGCTTTCAAATTCCTTCACGGTTTGTTTTTTTGTATTAAAACTGATTATTTATCCTCAAACAATTTACCGTTCTACTGATAGCATATGTAAAAATTTATTCAGATCTCTGTCTAGCACCTGATTAAACCCCACTTTCAGCCGTCCACCTTTTAACATCCAAGACCACAAGAAAGAAAAAATAATTATTCTGTGATTTCTTGGGATTAATCCATTAAGCTAGCTGTAGCCATCACTGTCTGGGTTTGAGCTTCAGTATTACACAGTGGGCTTACATGCTGAGTCAAACTGACTAATACTCCATTAGCAGTCACACAATCCACCCACTGGAAGATTATTCACAAGCACAAGCTGTGACGTTTAAATACTGACGTTTTGTCCCTCTTGTAACACCTCCTATAAGCTCTGTGACTAATAATAAGCATTGATCGGACATTGATTATGAGCCACTTGTGTCCTGTTAGCAGCTGAACAGTTTCTCTGTCTGCTCCTAGACTGCTGATGATGAGACACATTATGGATTGTAGGTCTGGGACTTCATATCACTGCTGATATAAAACGTGATCATTTCAAGGACCACATAGCAGATATATATATAATATATAAAATACTGGGGCAGTGAACCAACCAAGCTGCTGTGATCTAATTTGTGTCTGAAATCTTCGAAGGCCAAACTCACTTCCTGTTTCAAATATCTACTTAATGCTTAAAGATTGTTTAAAGAAAGAGCCGAAGAGCCGATTTAAAAACACTCTCAATGCATTTTATTTGCAGTGTGCATTCCCTGCAGCACTCTGCCCCCGACTACACAGTTAAAGGTTAATTACAGGCTAATTTACAGATCCTGTGCTGGGACAAGAACCAAATGCTTATTCCTTCATCCCACACTGAGAAAATTACACAAGATTATAGAAGAAAATGATACCGTTAATTACTGTTATTATAAGTCTTGAACACTTTTCACTGCTGTTAAAACAAATTCACTCATCTTGGATGTAATATATAAAAAAATAAATTTCAATAAATGTCTGAATAAATAAATCTAGCATTCCTGAGGTAATTTCACTGATTACTCTTGATGAGTTATTGGGCAATCTTATTCCAGTGTTGTACAAATATTCCCCGGATAAAAAGGCAACTAAATGTCAAGTTTTATTTGTACAACCCCCAATAACAATTATGTCTTAATGAATGAGCTTATCTAAGCTCAATATATAAGGTGTGAGAGGAAATAATGAACAGGTGAAGAGGCACTGACCTGAACCCTGGTGTTATTGGGGTCTTTGGCGAAGCTGGTGCAGCCTGCATGACAAGGAGAAATATACTCAATACCATCAGAGCCACACACAGGGTTGAAGGCACTGGCAGGACAGGAGCAGTTGGAGTAACACGAGGGTAGAGACCTGTGAGGGGTCAAGAGAGTCAAACATAAACAAGTTCAGAGCTAATGTTTGAGCAACCTATTTTTCTTTAGCATGTGTTTGCTTTTGACTTAACTACATCATAGTAATTTGTGTCTGCAAGTAGTTGTGACAAAGGTTCAAGGATTATGTTTTCAATATGTGTTAGATGTAACGTACACATACATATAAGCAAATAAAGTTAGTTGCTTTCTTTAGTCTCAGCAGCTTCTCATTTTATCTCATTTAATAGAGGAAATTATTATTATTATTAGTTATTAGCATTTTGTTTAGGCTGCTGTCAGACCATTAAAGGTACCCTGTGAAGTTTTTGACCACTATATATTGCTATAGAGCAATGTTTTATCATTTTTGTTTGTATACACTTACACAATACACTTTTCTGTCACTGGTTTCAGGCTATTCCACAGATCTACAGTCAGTGGCGGTAACGTGCCAAGAAATTTAGAAAATGTACAAACAAAAAGCAAGGACGTAGAAGGCTACTAGCTATCAAACATGGATATAAACAATGCAGGTTGCAAAATATGACACACAAGCATGGATGTCTTTTGATGGTTGGACAGGCACTTGGAAGTTATGTTGAAAGGTAAGACTAGCTTTTAGCCTCTTTCTTGGCCAGCCTAACATATTGCATATTCATGCAGGAAAACGTTAACGAATGAATGGGATTATACTGTATTAAGTGTCCTCTCTGTATATGGGTATGCACTGTACACCAGTGTGTTCAAAAGGATTGTATTATTTATTGTTAGAAATTTGTAAAAAAAAAAAAAAAAAATGGTCCAAACATATACCAATGATCCAAATCTTGATTTGATTCTCAAAATAATACTGAGCTGGTAGGAAATTTTATAATTGCAAACTGTAGTATTTGACATAAGGTAGGCTGTGTATATGTAACTTTGCGTACATGAGAACAACAATAAAAGTGGTTTAAAAAGTTGTTTAATGTGGTTCCCATGAAAGCATCACCATAAGAATGCCCCACTCTTCTCCCTCACCCATACCTTCCGATTTGGTGATTGATCTCGAAGACCTTCTGTGTGGGACAGCCCATGAAGAAGAGAGGGATGCAGAGGAGGGTGGAGGTGGTCAACATTACCACAGAGAAGCGTGGGATGGTCTTCAGAGAGAGACCTGCCCTCTTCATGATGACCCCGCCCATCAGCATCCCCACTGCTACTGCTGGCAGATTCACAGCACCTGGGAACCATGAACAGCTTAGTGACCCACAGGTAAAGTATTAGACATTATGTGCCATTATAGATGGTCTGTAAATAAATGCAATGTTGCAAACTTAAAGGAAGCCCAAATGGCATTTTCATTTATGGAAAAATGACTACAAAGCTAATTCACTCTTTGGAACGTTGCCATGGTACAAGTGGGTTGACACAGTCCAGAGTGTCCATTAACTGATTTTAACAGACTGTTTCATTTCACTTCCAGAAAGTTCATAAAATGGTTTAATTATATGTATTATACCGTGCTGCACATAATGACTGCAAGAAGTTGACTGAAAGGGCAATATTAATCTATAATATGAGCTTTTCCAAAGGCCCATCTTTATATATGCACTCCTACAGTACCTACCTACGAGCAGGCTGCCGTAGGCGGCCGAAGCGCTGTACTGTCGCTCCAGAAATTTGTTCAGGAATGTAGAGAGACCTGCGATCACTGAGGAGAAGCAGCACTGGGCCAGGACCAGCATAAGGAAGAGAGGGCTCAGCAGGAGGTGGACAAACATTCTGGGAAACACTGATAAGACACAGTCACATACTGATTATTACTCTGGAAATGATTCATCTATCTGTTACAGTAAATATTAACAAGATAAAGTCAGTTAATGAATCCAACAGGTGGAATAGTCAGAATATAATAAACTTACTTTTCAGGAAATCAAGTAAAGAGATATCTGGCTTCTTGAAGTCATCATTCATGTCAGTTTCATTTCCAATCACCTGGAAAATAATATGAAGTATAAACATTTACAGGGGTTTGTGTGAAGGCATATATTCAGAGTGTAATGAACACAGGAGCACTAATGTGATACAGCTGTTGAAACATAATTCAAACAAACAGTTCAGTCTGAAATCAACCCTGTTCTGACTAGGATGAATTGTTACTTTCTGTTTTTTCTGCTTTTTTCCCCGCTGTGCCACAGTCTCTTAGAATAAGCCTGTGTCTCTTTATGCTGCATTCATGTGACGTGGGAACATTAGATCCAATTGACAGCTCTGTGCAAAAGCTCCACAGTGTTCATGCATTCAAAATCATCCACAGCTGTCAAACATCATAATGGGAGATTTCTGTAGAGTTTTTGTCTCTCTTTTTGTGGCTTTTTCATGCTTAAATGAATGCTCCTAGTTTTGATGTGCATCTAAATGTGGGTTTTACAAGAAACCAAACCTTTTAATGTCTCAAAAAATGTATTAAGTATAGTGGTATGTATAGTGGTTTCTAACCTTTTTTGTGTTTGTTTTTATGTACCTCTATATCGCTATCACATGAACTCAGGTACTCCTTTGTCAGCACCACTGGTCATGTTCAGAATATTTTAATTAAAATATAATCACTTTCAACAGATTTTAGTGTGGAGGTTACGTAACACCACAAATTTGTTTTAAAATGATTATTTTATTATATAATTTAAATGTCAGGTTAGACCAGTTTGTTCAAGTTTTGCATTTTTACTACCACTACCACCTGGAGTTTATTATATACATATATTAGAAATGTATCAATTACTTTTTGCTAATTATTTACTTTACTTACTTACTTTTTTCTTTTTTCTTATGTTGACTTCTGTGTAAGCTAACTAGCATATTAACTAGTTGTCATGCACTCTCAACAAAAGCAAACAAATTCTCAAGTACCGCTGGCTGGGAATTGTCGATTAGGTGTCACAGTGCAATAAAATATATTGATATAAAACATGGTATTTATACCATTTCAGTTTATTTAATACTTTTAACCTTAATTTAGTTATTGTTTTCTGCCAGTGCCAATTTATTATTAGTTGTATGTAATTTACAAAACCTCTATATCTTGCCATATATGCTTTGTATTTGTGAGGATGAACCGACCCTTTGTTTCTTTTCTGACACAAACTGGAACATTTTTATAGCTTTAGCTGGAGTTACAACTTTCCAATAACTGAGAGAAAGAGAAGGGACATTTCGGTTTTATACTGAAAAGGCTTGGAACAACACCCTAAACCAAGCATTCACTGGTGAGGTATCTCGTATAGGGTGTTAAAGGTGCTTTAATGTGCTCATACAAACTGTTTCACAGTAGGTTCTTTCTTGAAGAAAATGATGAATTTAAGCCAGAATTATAATAACTTTGTTTAAGTTTTCACTGTACTTAATTGTATCAGACTAAATAATGGTCCTCAGCCAGCTCAAAGATGTCTTTTTAATATCAAAATGGATTGATATTTATATCAAAATGGTCCAAAACGTACACATTTACATGCTTATCATTTTCATATTTTCACCAGGTCAAGTCCTGGACAAAGCTGTAAAAGCCAAAATGTTGTTTCATTAAAAGTGTGAGGAATAAAATCTGACTTCATCTTATCTATGACTTATGTTTTCTGCAGAATGTTTAAAAGGTCGGATACAAAAATAATTCACGTACAAGTACAAGTACAAGTACAAATCATTTATTGGTACTTGAAATATGTTCAGATGATATGTGACTAAAAAATTAGGAATTATGTGTCAACACCGAGACAATTTTTGTTTTGTAAGTTCAAAGTGGTGAAAAACCAGAGGAGGAACAGTAAAATGCAATGCTGACATAAAGCCAGGAGGTGTCAGTAGAACATGAAAGTATACTGAGATATATTCAAAGAATGTTCAGACATAAAATAGGGCTGTTTGTTCTAAAAGATCTCTGTGAGTGTGAGTGTGACTTACATTATCTTCTGAAGGGATTGTACGAGGAAAGAAGAAGTAGGGTATGGAGGTGAGGACCAGGCAGCCGGCGGTGATGAGCAGGCCCATCCACCAGGCCCCAACCCAGCGGGGATCACCTTGTCTCAGCTCTTGTTCAGCTCCTGTAGGAAACAGGAGACACCAGACATGAGTGAACCATCTTTCCTGCTTCAACCTGTCTTTAAAATAACTCTGAGATGTCTCTAAAGGCCTCAATACCTAGACCAGTTCTGTCCACGTCCACGTAGATCTGCAGCACGACTGATCCCAGCAGGTAGCCAATGGCAGGCCCGAATACAGATACTGCAAACAGGATGGCTGTGAATGATAAAGAAGCTGTGAGACAGAGTTTCTGAGGTACTGTTCAATGTTCTTGCCAACTGTGACCTTACAATTATAAGGTTCTATCTGACTTTGTGTTTAATTGTGAAAAATCTGTTCAAATAAGGGGGATATCTTTCTGAGAACATGGCAACCTCTTATGGACCTCTGACTATCCGCCCAGTTCAGTTAGTTTTTTTTTCTATGTAGACTGTGATGACCATGGTTTAAGGTTTGTATTATCCCCCCCCTTTTCATGACTGTATTTTTTCCCCAATAATTTTGCATTTCATTTCACTTCACTTTTATTATTATTATTATTATTATTATTATTATTATTATAGCTTAGCCCTATTTTCTCTGTACTTTGTCTTTTGGTTATATTTGTTAGTAATTCACATGGCACATGGCATTCACAGTTTACATATTTATTTAGGCTTTTATGTATTACTGGCAGTATATTTGAAAAAGAAGAGCTTTCGCTCTCAAATACAATCTCTACATTGGTTCTATGAAGTTCTATGAAGCAGTACATAATCAAAATGAAAAGCATACGTTTTGAAACCTGTAAATCCATCAATTTTCATTAATCATCAATTTCCATTATGAACGACACTGACTGTCTTTTTTAAATCTTGTTTGAACTTGGTTAAAATGCTACCGTGCCAGACAGCGAGCTTGCTACTGTTAATTACACAGCTCATACTGTTTATTGGCAAGAATTAATGTTTTTATGGCAATGAAGGCCAGCATTTTAACATGTAGGATAAATTCAAGTTTCTAGCTGCTAGTTGCTGAACATTTTAGTGATCTGATGATAACTCAGCAATGGGTTTGTGTCTGTTTATAACTTGTGTGCCGCAGCAGACACAGTGACTGAAAGTGACCCTGTCAGCAGAAAAGATATCAGTGGAGCAATGAAAAGAAAAACAGCAGAGAGAAGGACAGCCACAAATTGAAAAAAAAGTTTTTGATTATTATTATTATTATTATTATAGAAGTGAATTTTGACCTCATAGTTAGATTGTGTTCTTTTACAGGCCATTCACCTATGTAAAGAGGGGAATTTCCAGGTCCAGCAAAATCATCAATGTAGGAAATTCCAAACGGCTGGATGGGCACCGAGCCCACCCCGAAGAGCAGCTGAGCGCTAGCCATGAGCAGCCACAAGTTGTTAGTGTCAGCCAGACGCCGGGTCTCGTCTCGGCCACAACTGGGGTCGCTCGAGTTACCCTGCAGGTTGCAGATGTCATGGGGATCTGGATCACAGCAGGTGGTGACACACGGACGGACAGAGAGAGGAGGAAAAGGGGAGAAAAGACAGTGAGAGTTAATGAGACGCCAGTGGATGCAGATGTCCAACTACTTTAATTTCCTGAAGCTTCTCTGGCCCTTCACTGACACTCTGTTCAACGCCAAGGTACTTTGTCTGGGGGCAAAATGAAAGACGGAAGAGGAAGATTGTTATTACAAATTAAATGCCCTGGAGGTAACTCTAATCTCCTTAGCTTTCAGCGAGTGCACAAAAATGATGAAAAAGAAATGATGTTTCCTTCTGATTTATTTATTTATTTAAGTTCAGCTGGAGAGCACCAGCAAGCCTTTCTAAATACACCATTTGCTGCAGAGTACAGAAAGCCAAACAGCAGAGACTTGTTTGACTGGAGTGCTACGGAGCCTTTGCTGAGAAGATGCTGCAGCGTTCTAGACGAACCCTTAAGTAAAGTCTCATAAATTGCATTGACATATTTGTACATTCATGAGTCCCCTGCTCTGGACTGAGTCACATTAGCTGTCACAGCGGTGCCAGGAGAAGCAGCCTGGCCTTATATTTAGGTCTTTGTCTTACTGTGTAAAACAGAGTCATATTCGTAGGGCTGGGATAGGAAGTGAGGTAAGGTCAGGATCATGGCACTGACAGCCATCAGTAGTCCACCGATTCCAATGAGGCGAGGACGGTGAACCCGATTTCCAAAGTAGCTCACGAACACTATCAGCACACTGTTACTGACCTAAGAGACAGACACAGACACATTTCAAAAAAGAAAAGGATCCAGATACAGCATTTTATCTGACTGTTAAACAACCAGTCCTTTCACGCTTAAGTTGCAGGTCTCACAGTTTTCTAGGTTACCAATACTCTCAAAACCAAATATGGAAATAGTCAGGTTCAGACTGTAATCCAAAGTTAGTGTGGTCTGCAGACAACCCAGGCACAGTTAATGTCTCAGAAACATGGAGGCAGAAAGAATTTAAAAAATGTAAAGCTGATCTTTTGGCCATTTTAGAGCAGTGGAAACAATCTGTAAATGACATATTATCAGCTTCTTCAGTTAACATGGCAAAACTGTTATTAGCAATATTAGCATTAATACATTGTTGTATTTCTGTCCACCTGATGAATGTAAGTTTGAGATTCACTCTTTCTTGCTCTTTAGCTGCTAAATGCTACTGAGCTGGGCAGGTAGTGTACGGATTCGTTTTTGCTGAAAACTGAAAAAGCACCTGGAAACAAGATTTAAAAGAGTGTATCAAACAAACAAACAATCAAACAGTATAATGAACTGCCTGCTAGACGCTAAAAAGCTCGGTAATGCGAAGAGGATCTGCAGAGGCAGGTGATAATTATCTGTGGGTTCATCGCTAATCCATTACACATAGTCATTTGATCCATTGTTAATATAAACACATCTTTTATAGCAGCTTTAAATAACCACACTAAGAGGAGATGTTTGGTTTGTGTTTCCATAAAACATCACACAATCAAATCAGATGTCGTAAATCATGTTATAACTTCAAGAGCAGCCAAATCCTGAGAGCACCTGAGCTGTAAAAAGCCTAAAGGTAGCTAATGTCAAAACAGTGATTTAATTAGTGACTAGTGACCCGGGGTGATGCACACTTCAACTGGAAAACATTTGTCTCTGTGGTGCATTTAAATCCCACTTGAGCAGTAAAACTCCAGCACGTACAGTACATTCTTTGATTATTCTTATCAGCAATGAAACTGTTTCAAAACACTTGCGCCTGGCTTGAATTTTAAGGAAGTGTGATTTTGATATGTTGCTTGTTCTCCAGTTCCTCCTTTGTCATCAGTATCCTTGAGATACATCTATCATGATCTCAAGCCGTGTGAGGGTGTGTTATTGTTGGCTCCTACCTCGTTTAGAGAGGAAATGGTTCCAGAGGAGTAGCTGCTGAGGCCGTAGCGTCTCTCGATTGTGGTGATGGTGCTCTTGAAGTAAGCGCTGTAGAGCAGCTGGGAGAACTGCAGGAGTCCGTGGCACAGGACAAACAGCTAGGACAGACAGACAGTACAGCAGGCTTGAGTCTCCAAAACAGAGATACTGGCATGTGAAAGCAGTTGCAGTAAAGAAATGTCAAATCTGAAGGAGTGATGTTACTTGTTTATATTATCAATATATCATTAATCTTAATCCCAAGTGTGCAGTATGCTCTGACAAAAGCTTGTTACAGTAATGGATCCAGATTTAAAATAGCTTATGTCAACTGTCTTTTACGTAAACTGTCTGTTGTGCTATTTTCAGCTGCAATAGGCGTTTGGCTTCACTCACGTAGAGGAAGAACAGACTGAAAGCCTAAAACATATTCCTTCTGAGAAGCTTAAACATTTCCAAAGAAATAAGACCAATTCAGAGGAACCACATTCTCATCCCATGTGTCTCGGAGAAGTACTGTTAAACACAATTTTCTAATGTTTTCCAGCCTGGCAACACACTGATATTATACAAAGCTCACCCAGTGGAGTGTATGCTTAAACATTACAGAAGCCATATTATCTGTGCAGTAAAATGCATTGAGGGGTGTCTGGTTAGCTCAGTCAGTAGAGCTGGCGACCCACATGCGGAGTTGCTGCAGCGGCCCAGGTTCAAATCTGACCTGCGGCCCTGTGCTGCGTGTCATCCTCTCTCTCTCTACCCCCCTTTCCTGTTTATCTTCAGCTGTCTCTGTCCAAGAAAGGCATAAAAAAAAAAAAATGCATTGAGCTAAGTGGAAACACTAAACACTTGCTTCACAAACACATGGCACAACGTACAAGTACAAACACATCAGGCCTGGACTGATTGGAAAATTTTACTTAAAGCACCTAAAAGGAACTTTCATTTTGTGTTCATTCTGGCGACTTGTTTTTGGGGCTCCTTGCCTCTATTGGATAGGACAACTGAAGATAGACAGGAAAGGGGAAGAGACAGAGGGGATGACACGCAGCAAAATGGCCACAGGTCAGACTCAAACCCGTGGCCGCCGGAGCAAGAATCCAGCCCTGGCAACCAGGCGAGCCACCAGGGCGCCCCAAGAAGGGACTGACTCAGCTGATCCGATTTCCTCGGGCAGACTGTTCCAGAGCCTCGGGGCCCTGACTGCAAAAGCTCTGTCCCCTTTTGTTTTCAGCCGGGCATCTGGAACAGACAAAGGACCTTTGCCCGAGGATCTCAAAATATGAGTATGGTGTTAAAAGGTCTGAGATATTGTAGGGGGAGAGACCATGTGGAGCCTAAAAAGTAATCAGTAAAATCTTAAAATCAATTCTAAAACACACTGGGAGAAAGTGTAAAGAGGCAAAAACAGTAATGTGATCGTGATGGTGGTCCTTTAATCCATACAAGAACTGGAGTGTGAAAATGACTTACTTTCCATCTCTGGTTTCAGAGGCTGTTTTTGTGAAAGTTTAAGCAACATGACAAATAGTGGAGTCTTATGGCAAAGCAGTAATTCATCTGGTTTTCTTGGAAACTCCTGGCTCCAAAAGAGTAATGAAATGTGTGATTCACTGATTTTGGAATGATTGTCAGCCAATTACTTAGCTTCAAGTGATGCTGTATGTGTCTCCAATTGATTGCATGATTTTGCCTCTTGGACTCACATCCAGAGATGCGGAAAGATCAAAGTGGCCCACTGGACGTGCTCCCAGGGATCTGGAAGAGCCACTCGCCTCTCTGTTTGTCGGGAGGCGTTCACAGACACTTGTGTGACTCTCTGCACATGGGTTATTTTCATGAGGGAGGAGGGCATGAATGACGCGGAAGATACGTGTTGAGATTAGGAGTGAATTTGCTATGAAAACAGTGATAAATCCAAGCTTTCAGTTAGTTTACTGGCTGCCAGGTCGGCTGAGGAAGAATAAACTACGCGTTTGACTCAGAACAGTTAATGCTCCTATTAAAGCTTGGCTTTATGGTTTGTTAGCGCACACAATAGATGCTTTACACTGTTACTAATATTTCATCCTCATATCAAACTAGCTTCAATTATCTAAATGATTCGACAGGACTAGTTTGCTGGCAGGCAAAGAGCTTATTTTGTTTGTGATTTAGATTTTAAAAAAAAAAGTGGTTCACAACTGTTTCTTTAACCACAGCTTCAGGTCAACTTAAAATCCACTTTAGCCTTTAACGAAAGTCGGATTGATATTCTTTTTGCAGATAATGCCTGATACAAATATTCTGTTTCAGAGACAAGTCCCTGGCTTTCTGACAATTTGGCCTTAACATTGGAAACATAATAATTTAGATAACACATAATCCATTAAAGTGTAAATTTTCACCATAGGCCTGAGAAACGGCAAGACTGTTTTCTTGCACCCAATCAATATTAATGATAAAATACAGCAGGTCAGTTTTTCTTGATGAAGGAATGTTGAATAATGTTGGTGCTTGGATAAGATATTTGTACACTATTATAAACAGTGGAGAAAAGGGGTGGCAGCAGCAATTAATGCAGAACGCTGCAGTGCGTCAGCACTCTCTCCCTGGGAAGGCGTAGAATGTATTATTTATCCACACTGTTAATACAAGTGATTTAAGCCTGTTTGATGTTTGCAAGCAGGAAAGTGCTTGTGCAGAGTTGGATTCTCCATGGATTATGTACATATTTATCCCTTTTGAACACTCTCAGCTCTGTCTGTGTGGACGTTATTGTCCCAGCCTTCAACCCTGCTGCGAGGGGAAGAATTGAGGGAAGTTAACACTTGAATTTAAAAATGCTTCTATTTCTGGGACACGTGTTGTAGCTAAGACACTGGATAGCCATGGATTTCCATGAGGAAATTATGGGTTTTTTTGGCTTCAAAAAAATGCTTGACCTACTTGGTCAAAAAATGAAAAGCTTAGTGTATAAAGTCTCTGAGGATACTTGAAAGAAAGTAAAGCCACAGAATGACCTCCCTTCATTGTGAATCAAACAAAAAAAGTTTTGCTGCACAATAGCATCATAATCAGAGGACAATTTTCTCTGATTTACAGCAAACATTAAATATTTCGGGAAATTATTCACTTTCTTGTAGAGAATACAATTGAAAACACTTTCTCCACTAAATATAAGGCTACAGCTTGTAGACGGTAAGCTGAGCCTAAAGACTGGAAACAGCTAGCTTGGCTATGTCTGAAGGTAGGAAATGCAGCCTACAAATAAAAGATTGCTAATTAAAATTCTATGTAGGCCTATTGTGTGTTTAATCAGTATGGTTTCCCAGGGGGTTTAGGTGCTGGACTATTTGTTGGCTAAGAGCATGGATTTCCTGGAGCCTTGTCGTCTGGCAGATAACCCCCTACAAAACCACAACCTGTTGTTTTTACACTTTGTCTTTTTTGTGCGGATTAAACAAACAAGACATAACATGTTAATTCATGAGCTTTAGATGTGGTTATATAAGGATTCTGTAGCCTCTGGACAAAGCTAGGCTAGCCGTTATCCAGTCTTTGTGCTAAGCTATCTAGCTGCTGGCGGTGTGCTGAACATGCAATTATAAGAGTGGTAAAAAAAAAAAAAGGTGAATAAGTGTATTTAGAAAGATGCTGAACTATTTCTTAAACTCTGACAGACACAAACGCCCTGAGGTGCACTGAGGTGTGGAGCACATTTCTTGCCCCACTCATCAGGACGTAAACATTACGTGCCCTCGAGGAGAAACTTGGCTCGGATGCTGGCAGCGATATCCTTAACGAGAGTTGGATGGAGTAACCTGGGTGCAGACTAGGTGTAGTGCACAGTAGATAAGTTCAAAGCTGTGGAAAAAACAAACAGAATGTCCTGATGAAACTGAGCAAATAGGGAGCAAAGCACTGTACAGCATGTACCGCCGTCAAGAAAAGATGGATGGACACGACTGCTCCCTGTGCAGCTATTGTTGAGCGCCTGGCTCTGCCGAGTGCAAAGTGATTTGGTTTCATGTGAGAAGCAACCAGGCCAGTTTCCTACTCTTCTGTTGCACTCGCTATGCAGGAGGCCAACAGTAATCAAGAGCTCTAGCATTACAGTTTGACGCAACACAATTTAAAAGATGTGCTCCTCTGCTTCCACTTCCCAGCGCTGTAGGAATGACTTGCTGAAACAGCTTTACTGACACATTAACCTGCTGCTCACACTGCTTTCATGCTGAACTACTCCCATTATCTAAATATACCGTTACACAGCTTTGAGCTCGGGGTTCGTTCCCACTGTGAAGGACGGAAGGAGAGTTCATGTGAAACGGTCATATGATGATGTCTGTAGGATAAGCCATACTGTGTCAGCTTTCTCCACCCTATTTGTACATCTTGTTTTCAACTGTAGAGTGAAGACTTAAAAAGACAAACATTAGCAGATTTGCACCAACTGGAACAAACCACAGTGTGTGTGAGAATGTGTTAGCTAAACACTCTGAAGATTTTCCAAGTAGATCTTCACCTTCTAGAAACTTAGAAGTTGCTCAAGTTGTTTCCCCTGTCATTGTCTCTATTCCAAACTTACAGAATATAGGTGTATTAGTCACGCGTCATTCACACAATACAACACCAATGAAGAAGACATGTCATCTCTCGCAGAGTTTCGCTGCAAGCTGCATGGAGTTGTGCCCCATTATTACTCACAGCCCTGGAACAAACTGTTTCTCTCCCATTATTGCCATACAGTGAAGCACAACTGCTCCTTTTGGCACTCAGCGGGGTTACATTTCTGCCTGTGCCCAGTGTTCAGTGAGACTCTTAATATTGCAGCCAGAGGTGCAGAAAAAATACCAAACATTGAACTGGACACAGCTGCCAAACACATAAAAAGGCCTGTCAAAAGTGACTCACTGATAATGCATTTAATGACAGACACAAAAAACGAAATATTCCCCTCTATAAAAACCCATCTGAAGCAGAATTACATTTCTAGAGCTGCAGTGATCAATCGATCAATTGACTGACTTGTTAAACAAAAATGCTAAACAAGATTAAAGGCTCTTTTGGACTATTTTAGACTGTTTGATAATTCCACCCAGAGCACTAAAATGGGTCATTTTTCTACTAATCAGCACATTCATCAATAGCAAAAAATCTATATTAGTTGTAGTTTTAGAAATGACATTATTACATTTTTCCTTAAACTTAATTTTTAACTTGGCATAAGTCTGTGAAACACTTTAAACTACTGAAATAGTAAAAATAAATTATATACAAAATAGTTAAACAATATATATATATATATATATATATTGTCTGAGCGATACGCTATATCGCTCAGATTAAACATTAAACACGGTTGTGCGTCACTTACAGTGATCATAAAATGACTGTCGAACATTCAAAGAAACGAGGAGAACTTTTTTTCTTTTCTTGTGAGCTATGTGAAGGTAACTCAAGTTTTTTCCCCAATATTGAGCACTACAGTCTGCAATAAACCTCACAGAGTCTGGACCTTTATGAGGTGTGAGGACAGAACTGTTTTATTTAAGGTGAAGCTCTGTTTACTTTTATACGACATAGACAGCAGATACTATACTCAGGTTTTCTAAGAAAAAAAAAAAGTTAATTTGAGTATTATCTGTGTAACGTTACGCAATCGTCTAAAAATAAATCAGGTGGTTATATAAACAACGAGGGAACAAGTGCTGCAGGTTAAAACAAGAGCTTTCATAGTAAGTATGCAGCCCGCCGTCCGGCGCACTGATGCCTACCTTTACGCTGCTGCAGCACGCCGTCCCGGGCTTCTTCATGGTTTTGGAGGAATGTATGTCCATTAGTTGAGCTCGTGTCCTCGCGTCTGCCTCTCGAGGTTTGTGTCAGAGGTTGTCTATGTTTTCCCTCCGGTGCGCCGGAGTGCTGCTTTATGACCGTCGGTGATGTAATTGGACTCAGCCCACAGCTCCACGCGCAAATGTTTTGAAAGTTGTGAATTGGGAACACATTGTCCCGCGCTCATTGGCTGAGTCACGAGCCAGCCTGTCCAACACTCACCTGTGAGAACGTATTAATCATGATAATAAGATAATACATGGAAGTGCATGATGCCATTCAAGTTTAAAGTTCCTCTGTAATATTTGGCGCTCCCGGTGGAGCCCCGCTTTGTTCTCCAGCCGGCCTTAATGCTCCACTAATTGCGGTATGCGGCACTCTGAGCTGTTTGTGCCCGAAGCTAATGAGTACAGAGAGAAACCGCTGCTAATGAATGAACCCTCACACTGACAGCCATATGAAGCTGAGGAAGGTCTGTTGTTCACCTACAATAGGTTTGTGTGTACAGTTATTCCAGGCGACAAGAGGAGCTCTTTTTTGTAAACTTATTATTGAATGTGAAGGAAAATGAGCAAATCGACAAAAATAAACTTTCAGAAATACTGCTAAAAGTTTAACCTGTGTTGTAACGTGTCAATAGATAGATAGATAGTTAGATAGTTATTGGTACAGGTGTTACTGTAACAATACCAATAACTTCTGTTAAAGTGTCCCGACATGCACAATACAATGACCCTAAAACTGAAGCAGCTAAATCGAATTCAGCAATCAGTAATTTAATTAATATTAAAAAATGCCTATTAAATACCCCCCATGAAGGCTTTTAAATTGTAGTACACCATATATGGACCGAATTCCCCACCAGGTTGCAAACACCCACAAATTCCCAGAACAAATACATGAGTTCAGTGTACTCAAGGGGAGCCGGTTACAGCCCTGTTTGCTTGTTAATCTCTAACACCAAGAGTCCATCGCTTATTAGCCCCCTTTGTTCTGCCTCCAGTAAAGTTAGGATGTTAGGTTTGATATCCATAAGTGCCATTCATGTATACCAGTACTGTACTGGCAGTACATAGACTTTGTGCTGTTCATGTTTTACGATGCAGTTAAAAGCTGAAGGGGTATCACATTCACAATATGAAAAGCCATTAAATTGAGCAGAGTTAGTCAGGAAGCAGGTAACGAAACCTCAATAATTCACACACTACTTTTTGTGTTTGCTGATCTCATATATGATATGATGAGATATTGTGCAGCTCGGTCTGGTTCAACCAGTGGCCTATTTCCTCTCAGTTCCTTCAACAAGACTTCTGTTTCCACTGAGTGTTTGACATTGGTCACAGGCGTTGGTTGTAGCACAGTCTGAACAATATCCGTTATATGTTAACTGAACGGTATCTGAAGCAGACACACATTTAACTGTCATGAATGTATTATAAGTCATTGTCAGATATCACCTTGATACACTAAAATACCTTTAGAATAAATAAAGTGATTATGAATGTGATTAACTTCTGTTATGAGACCTCCTAATGCGATACAAAGGATTATAGCAGCTCTTATAACGCACTGTGAATCTGATATGATATACTGTGCATGGAACTATAATACAGTGTCGATATGGGTTTCACAGAAAGCCTTGTCCATTGATTAATTACCCCTCAATATAATTCAAAACCAGTTCATTGGTCAAATAAATGTGTTGCTAAGCAACATAGGCATGAGAGTTGATCTTTGGTAAGACAATATTCAGATTTACAAGTGTGTGTTCAAGTATAGTACAACGACACGGATTCCATCACTCAAAGGTAAGAACAAGAGAGGTCCCTTTCAGAGTTATGTCACTATTTGATACTATTAAATAAGGAAACTGAATGATAATAAAAGCAGATCTGAAGGGAGTCGTGGAGCTGAATCCAGGCTGGAATCCATCTTGTTTTATATGTGGCTGCAAGTAGGAACAGGGGCCTGTTTCATGCAGCAGGTTGAACTGAATTCATTTGCTGAACAATACCCAGAAACCCCCTCAAACCTGGTGAAGTTCTGGGTTTTACTTTGGAAACTTGTCCATTTAAGTCAGTAAACCCTACAGTATTGTGACATAAGAGTCTGGTAATGAGAATGTCACTTACTCAACATGTCTTGCGGCTGCGTTGCATTGCGTTCTATTGTTATGCTGTTAGTGTGGAAAGGGAACAAGTGTGCAGAATTGACACAGGTTCCCTGACAGTGACTAACTGCAAGCTGACAATGACTGATGATATTTGGAAATGATGTTGTCTTCAAACGCTGCCGTAGTTGTGGTAATATCTCAACCTGACTTCACGTCACTTATGTTCAGCTTGTGATTTAACGAAATATGCACTACCAGAAATGACAAACACATAAAGTTGAAGAATTAAAAGCAGTGACATTGTCAACATTTGTCAGTGAAACACCATAAAACAGTATTTAGTTAAATAATCAGGTTGACGTTTATGCCCACACAAAGTAAAATAAATATTGAACATTTCTGTCTTTCAACATTTCTGGTGTTAATTTGAACAAATCGAACTGGATGAGGACTTATAATGAAAGGGATTTAAGGATTCTGCACAAATTTGATTTTATATAATTTTCCATTACAACATCATGAAGAAGTGCAGTGTTCATGTGACATCAACTTCAGGCTTAAGCTAAAGAGGCAAAACAAAGAAACCTGAAAAAAACAAGGGAACTAAGAAAAGTAGTAACCCATAACAGTTTTCTTCTAGTACGTACACAAGGACGCATATTTGGGAATACAGATACTTGAGTATTAATAGTTAAGCTTTACTCTTTTGGATGTTTTTTCTATCAACAAGTGGACGGTTGGCATGGCTGAACAGCAAAGGCATCACTGTGGTTTGAAGCTTTCAAGGCTAAACAGAAAAACATCCTTGTACCAAAACACCTGGCTTCAACTGTGGCTTTTGTGGTACAAAACAAACATTAATGTGGTGTCAGGCGTTCTCCCTGAAACAATGAGAGCAGATATTGTTTTAAGTGCACAGCAAAGGAGCTATACTGATACACCACGTGCTTTTGATGTTAAAAATATAAACAAAGCAGCCATTCTACATTTAAAAGATCCCATTTAATTTGTGGATAGGAATTCGGGAAGCAGTTTACAACCTTAATTCAACATGCAGTGACCATCACAAAGATGTTAAAGGTGAGAATAAAATTAGACCAAGCTGGTAGGCAGTTTTGTGTGTTCACAGTGATTATTAGTGTTCTAGTTACTCGCAAAAAAAATTAAAATAAAAAATCAGTCCAAGAATCCTGTGAAGGGCTGTGTTCTGACGCAGAACAATCAAGCTTATAAAATAGAAACATAATGATAATTCTGTTTGGAGGTTGTGATAGTGGAAATAAAATGTACAAAAGAGAAAGAAGGTGGTGGCATTCAAATAATAATAGTGTCCAAAATTCACTCCGGATGTTGTTTAAAAGTTCAAATAAGTAGCTTTGTGGTGCTGATCTTAAATGAGCTGTGGCATCTATACGTCTGATCCACGAAGAAAAGAAAACTCATCTGTGGCACAATCTTTAGTGTCATCCAGAGGAAACAGTGTACCGTTCTTAAAGGTCTCAGAAATCTTCGCAAGAAACACAGATCTGGTTTCCAAGAGGCCTCTCGTACCCAGCTGGAGCTTACTGTAGCAGAGTGAAGCAGCATGTTGGAGAGTATGGTAACATACAAATGAAGCCCTTAAGTCTACTTTGGTACCTAAATATTTCTGCTGTAGAGTCCACAACACATCTACAATTTTCACTGTTTCACTAAGTTACAAAACTGTAGAAAATACTGTCTTTAAAACCAGAGGCTTCAATTCTTCCTTAAAAAAAATTGTCCGATGGCACAAAAATGTCTGTAAATGTTGACGTGCTGTACAGATGAGGACATCCTTCCACCGTTTCTGTCCTCTTGGCAAGGGCAGAGCACCATAAATGCCATCGCTAGACGCTTTCAAAGCATATGAAACAATATTGAACAAAGAATCCTTTTACTTTGCTATGCTGTAAAAGGGTAATTCAACTATATAAAAACTCCAAAAGAACTGTACAAAATAAAATCGTCAGGCTTAAGTCTGCTCTTTCATCTGATAAGGCACATTTTCATACATGTATTCCTTATGAATAGTGTCCACCAGCTTTTAGTGTTGCTTTTCTTGGGGAGAAAAAAAGAAGAAGAAGAAGAAGAAGAAGAAGCAGCTTGTTTTCACACGTAAGCGCCCAATGCTGCGTGGAACTCTGTGAGGCACTGAACGAGCTGCTGAAACTTGGGCCTCTCCTCTGGGTCCAGGGCCCAGCAACAAGCCATCACTGCAAACCTGCAAGAAAAAAAGACGAGTCAAATCAAATGTCTGTCTACGAGCAGTTTCAGGACAATGTTGGGTGTTTTGTGCGTGACAGGATGCAGTGGGAGAGAGAAGGAAGGTGACCAAAACTCAGGGGTTGCGTTCCACATACAGGAGCTGCCTGTACAGCACTGATATAAATAAGGGAGATATAATCAATGTATGCTCTTAATTGTTTTATTTTGCAACCTCTAAAAAAAGGAAACCATCACCTCACCACCTATTGTATTTAGAAGGAAACCCTGTTCGGTTATTTAACAGATTTCATGTAATTATTCCCTGATCTTTGTGGATATTTAACACTTCTCACGGGTTTTCCAGGGCAAGCATTTTTTGGTCAGTTCAAAGGGAACATTATTAAGCTGTCAAAGCACAAACTTTTTTAGTGTATTATGGTGATTCCATAAAGTCGAATTGTATTGATAGCTGTAGCTCCTAGAAATAGTAGTGTAATAAAATACTAACTAAAGGGAAAACATTAAAAGGGCAATAATACGCTCTCTTTGTTTCTCATTCTATTAGCAGTCTGAAGTGTTTTCTGAGCTGTGCCTTTCATAAGGACATGAAAGCATATATGATGGATTTGGTTTCTTTGAAGCTCAGAAATGGACAGATTTCAGCAATATCCCTTAAATAATCAAAATAAGATTGGCTGACTGCGCTAGTAGGGTTTTTAACTTTACTGGGACGTATATAGACGCGTATCATCAGCATAAAACAATTGATACCTAATAACAATAATTCAATAATTCACCAATAATAATTTCTTCATAAAAGGTAAGGCTGTAACATCTTTCTTGATTTTGACAGTACCACACAAAA